TGGCTTTCTAATGGTACTACGTTGTGTGATGGGAAAATAATTTTTTTGTATTTTTTTTGAGCTTTGTTTTGTGGCCTAAGTCCCGATCAGCTTCAGAAATGTTTCATGATTGTTTCCAAAGCATGAATGTATCCCGATTTTTTGGCATAGACTTATGTTTCCTAAGCCAGCCTTGTAAATCATAGTATTAATCTTAATTTTTGTCTACGTGCTATATCAATTACTTGTTTGTAGTATAGGTTTGTTTAAATATCTCATTTTTTATTTTAGATCTCCTAAATCCTCCCGTCATTTTGAAATATTTTGAGTTTATGTTAGGTTATTCTGAATTATTATCTCTTTTTGGTGCATTATTTCTTTGATCATATGTAATGACCTTATTTATCACTAATATTGCTTTTTTTGCCTTAAGAACAATTTTTCCTGATATTAATATAGCTATCTAGCTTTACTTTGCTTAGTACATTTTTAATCTATCTTTCGCATCTCACTGCCGGTAGTTTTTCTGTGCAATTATATTTTAGCAGTGTTTCCTGTAAAAAGGATTTAGCTGAATATTTTCTCTTCTTCAGTTCTTCTTTGTATGTTTGCTTTTCTTTTTAATTTATCCTACTAAGAACACACGAAGTCCTAGATCATAAAGTCACCTGAAATTATTCTGCCTGTTAGATGGAAATCTTATCAATCTCGCATGCAGTTAGGTTGATTTTGTTTGTTTTAGTTCATCTTCAATTTTAGTTATTAATAGTTTCACTGGATTACAACTTTATATCTCCTCTCATTCAATTTGAACTGATGCCATTAAGTTTCTAAGTGTTTGTCTTTTACTCATATTATGATTCAGATTTTATTACTTGATTTATCAGCTATTATAGTGTTTGATGCCCACCTTTGAGATAATCAATGAGCTATTTCTCCTTTTTCTCTCTCTACTCTATTTCCCCCTTTCTTGTTATTTGCACATTGTCAGACCATACAGCCTTTATTTATCCTCTATGTTATTTACGGTTTTATAAATACTTTTCCTGTGTAACAAATTACCCTCAAAACTTAATTTAAGATAAGAAATATTTATTATCTCACACAGTTTCTGAGGGTCAGTAGTCCATGGTAACTGGTGGCATTATAAGCAGACGGCCACGTGAAGACAAAGACACACAGGAAAAATGCCACGTGACAATGAAGATAGAGATTGGAGTTAAGCAGCTACAAGCTGAGGCACAGCGAAGATCTCATGCAAACCGCTGGAAGGTAGGAAGAGGTGAGGAAGGATCCCCTGAAGGTTGGGGGTCCTGCTGACAGGTTGACTTTGACCTCTGGCCTCCAGAGCTGGGAGACAATAATTTTCGGTGGTTTGAAAACACCCATTTTTGGTACAGCCACCCTAGGAGACTAACACAACAATCTGCTTTGCCCGACTTTTATTTATACCATTTTCTCTCTCTTCTTTTTATCTTTATTCCTGTTTCATCCTCTCTTCTCCAGGATTCTTTCTGTTGCTCTGTGCAGAGCAGTTGCTTTAGTACATGATGTCTTTGGTGGTCAGCCTCCCTCTGATCTTTAGACTCTGTCTTGACTCAGGAGGACCATGCCATCATCTCCTTCCTTTCTTCTCTTTCATTTATTAACAGGTGCTACTGTAAACAACACTGCCCCCACTTCCCAGGTGCGTCCCTCTCTCTCCCCAAGATGCACCTTCTGGAGCCCTTCATTATAATTCCTCTTTGCCAGGGTTGTGACCCATCAGGCACCAGACCTGCTTTCAGAAGTTTCTTCTCCGTGTGGAGCTCTCTTCTTTGGGGGACTCACCCTGAACGGTCCTGCATCCAGCTTCTGCAGAGACTCCCCTATACAATTTTATGCATCTCCTACTCAGCTACACAAACTGCTCTGGTCTGGTGCCAGGATATTGTCCCCCCCTTTACATTTGTTCATCAAATGTAATATTAATATTATATTATTTTGAATAATGTCTACCAATTTTTGAACGCCTGGACTAGGCTCTATGCTAAAAATATTATACTCAAATAAATTATCAAATATAGAACTAACAGCAATAATGCAAAATGGCTATACTAGAACAAGTTTATAAATAAGGGAAATGGGGCTTGGGGAAGTTGAGCATCTTGGCTTCTGTCAAATATGAGCCCTTATCTTGACCCATACCTACCTGCATCTTATGGAGGTAACATAAATTCCACTATGACTTTCAAAACCTGTGAACCGATAAAACAGAAGTGGAGGCCACATTGACTTCACAAAATTAAAGAACTGCTATAGCATCAATGATCCCTATCTTCAAGAAACCAAGACAGTCATTTCATATGCTCCAAACAAATGAGGATACAGATCCTCTAAGTGAGAAGACCTGGTGTTTTAGCTTCACTTCAACTTTCTACATCACATAGATCCCCAATTACAGCCTTCCATATAAACAGTCTTCCAAACAAAACTGTTCATAACCTGACCGGCCTTTAGAACCACCTGAGGAACTGTTTAGACACGTCCCTGAGCATCATCCACACCTGCTGAAATATCGTCTATCTGTTGTAAAGCTCCTCAAGTGGTTGGTGAAATCGTAATGTTTCAGAGTAGTCTGTATTTTCTTGGATTTGGGTTTTAATGCCAAAAAGTAGGTTAGATACTTAGGGGTATCAGAAGAACAACACAGACTCTTGCTTTTCAAAGCGCCATCCATGAACCAGTTGTACCAACCTCACCAGGAGCTTGTGAGAAGTGCAGAACTTGCACCCTTCCTCAGTTATGCTGTATAAAACACGCATTTTAACACAATCCCTAAGTGATTTGTATGCGTATCAAAGTTTTAAAAGCACTGTCATAGACCTTTCCTATAAAAGGTTTTGACCTTCTTATTCAAAAATTTAACATAAAAATTTCACGTATCACCAAAGAGTGAAGATGCAAGATCAAAAGGGAAAGTATTTCTGGTTGCTCTGTATACAAGAACATAAAAAGTTTTTCTTGCAATTGCAATTATAAAAACCTAGTTCATTGTTTAGTCTGAAGCTAGAAATGAGTTTCCCCACTACCACTCATTATTTCTATGTTGCTTATTTTTTTGGAAGTTGGAGGTCTAAGTTTGAATCCTAGGTTATTCTTATCTCACTGACGTGAGACCTTTTTTTGTCATTCTTCAGATTGCTATTCTTTGGGGGCAACTTGTCTTCGCTGCTTTCTGTAGCTTCCAACGTCCTCATGTGCCGCAATCCCCAGTTCCCAGCATGGTTCTTAATAGGGCGATGAGTCATGAGGGTGATCGCATATCCTGATTTAAGTGGGGCGATCCTGGAACACATCCGCTGTCCCAGTGTAATTACAAATAGCTCCCCCTTTCACTTTCAAAGATGTCCTAGGTAGAACTAGAAATTATACGGTCTCCCTCTCAGTAATGAAGGTGAAGCTGAGTTGTGATTAATTCTGTCTAAGGAGACCCTTTTCTTCAGGGGACCCTCAACAGCTGCTGCTGGGGAGACCACCACCTGCCTTGATTTCTCCAGCCCAGCCCTCTCCCTATTCTTTCCTCCTCTCTTTATGACAGTCTTTGAAAAGCATGAAAAAGCAAATATTCAAAGGACCAGAAAGAACTTGGGAAACTCCTTTGGCAATATGGCATACTAGAAATCATTCATTACTCTATCATAGGCATTTTACTTGAGTTTTTATCATACTTCAGTATTTTAAAAATTGATTATATTATACCTCCTATATGGGTTTTTTTCGGCTCTATTGAGGCATAATTGGCAAATAAGATTGAAGATATTTAAAGCGTACAAGGTGATGATTTGATATATGTCTACAGTGTGAAAAGATTCCCCCCATTGGGTTAATTTACACATCCATCACCTCACATATTTACTTTGTGTGGTTGTGTGTGTGTGTGAGAACATTTAAGCTCTACTCTCTTAGCAAACTTCAGTTATGCAATACAGTATACGGTGTTGCCAACTATAGTCACCATGTTATACAT